TTTTTTTGGTCTTTTTGAGACAGGGTCTCCCTGTAGCCCCAGCTGTCCTGGAACTTGCTATGTAGACCAGGCTGGCCTTGAACTCACAGAGATCTACCTGCCTCTGCCTCCCGAGTGCTAGGATTAAAGGCATGCGCCACCACGCCTGGCCCTTAAAATTAATGTTTGGAAATGTAGTTCAATTGGTAGAGTACTTGCCTGGCATGCACAAAGTCCTGCGTTTAATTCCCAGTACCACATGAATGGAGCATGGCAGTGCATGGTGTTGCATACCTGTAATTCTGGCACTTGGCTGAGGTAACAGGATCAGAAATTCAAATTCATGGTCCTCTGTGGGTAGTGAGTTCCTGCCCAGGATACAATAAGAACTTGTCTGAAATATAAATAAAATCTGTCTGTGACAGTGTCTCATGTAGCTCAGGCTGGACTTGATACGTAGCTGAGAATGGCTTTGCATTCCTGATGCTCCTGCCTCAGCCTCCCAAGTGCTTAGATTTCAGGGTATGCACTACCATTCCAGCTCTCTTTTTTTTTGGGGGGGGGGGGTGTGGTTATAAGGTTTTTTGTTGCTTTTTGTTTTTTGAGTCAGGGTCTCACTATCTCTCTATGTAGCCCCAGTTGGCCTCAAACTCACAGAAATTCACCTTCCTCTTCCTCCCAAGTGCTGGAATTAAAGGCATGCATCACCATGCCTGGCTAGTTTTAAGTGGCCCACTTACATCTGCTTCTCTCCCACATGGGGAAACGGAGGTGAGGTCCTTCAAAAGGATGGTGTGTCCAACCTCACAGGCAGCCTCAAGTAGAATCCAGGCACCTGAAGCTCCTCTAACCTGGGAGAAAAAGCCAAACCCCACTCTAGATGTCATAAACAAAGTGTCTTTAATGACAGTTCTTTTCCCTTCCTGCCTGCAGGCCCGCCGGCTCTTCGAGGTCCTACACGAGCCCTTTCTCAAAGGGCCCCGATGACCCCCACTGCTGTTGAGGCCCCAAAGCTGTAATAAAGTATCTTCCATGCCCAGGCTCCTGCTGGTGTGCTGTGATTGCTGGGAGCCGGCTCATCTCTGCAGTGGCCTTCTGACGGCCTCCCTGGGCCGCTTGGGCCTTGCTGCTCTGTTTCCCTGGGGCACTACACAGGCTCCTGGTGAGGCTTCCTCTTCTGCTGCTGCTTCTTACCTTCTGTGGGAGGCATCTCCCCAGATTCAGGCTCCAACAGCATCCCTGACATTTCCCCCTGAGGCATGGTGTCTGGGACCCCACTTTCCTGACTCTTCTTCTTTTTGGTGGATCTGTGCACTGCCCGGGCCTCAGGCTCCCCCAGTTCTCTTGGACCTGTCACCTCAGCCTTGGGCTCTGTCACTTTCTTCATTTTCTCCTTTTGCTTGGAGGTTGCTGGGGCCTCCTGGGGCTCAAGGTCAGGTGGCAGCGCAGCCTCTGTCACCTCCATCCCCAGGGCCAGGGCCAGGGCCCGCTGCTTCTCTTTCTTCTTCTTTTTGGGGGACACCAGCCCTGCCTGAAGCCCAAGTTCACCCGGCAGTTCAGGCTCCATTTTCGACCCATGGAGCCCCATGTCAGGCTCTACCGCCTCAGTCCCCTGCTCCATCAAACTTTGTCTCTTTTCTTTTCTCTTCTTCTTTTTGGGGGACAGGAGCATGGCTTCCTCCTGAGACTCCATACCAACCTGTGGCTGTGAGGTAGCTGTGGTCCCCTCTGTGGGCTCTGGCCCTTCGATCTCCTTTTGCCTCTTTCTCTTCTTGGCAAGGGACAGAATAACCCCATCAGGAGGCTGAGCTTCCACCACAGCCTCCAGCTCCCCCAGCATCTCTTCGGACTCTAGCACCCCCAGTTCTGGCTGGACTGTCTCTGCCCCCTTGGACTTTTTCTTCTTTTTATAACTGGTCGTGGATGGGAACGGCAGGCCCAGAGGCTCTGACATCTCAGCTGCGGGTTCCATTGCCTCCACTTCATTCACCTGCTTCTTCTTCTTCTTCTTCTTCCCAGAGTCCATCTCTATGTCACCACAGGCTGTGTCCACTTCCACAGCCCCATGCCCATTCACGCTCTCCTGAGCAGCTACGGCCTCTAACACCTGCCTCTTCTTTTTCCTCTTTCCCAAATTGGGTGAGCTCAGAGCCGAGGTGGACCCAGGCCCTGTCACGGGCAGGCTGCCTCCAAAGGCAGAGAACCTCGGCCGCAGCCCGGAAGGTATCTGTGGGGGGAGGCTTGTAGGAATGGGCTGCAGAGGGATCCCCAACAGCAGAGATTCTTGAGGACCCTCGATGATCTTTAAATTGCCATGGGGGGCTGGGGCACAGGTGAGTCCTCCTCCTGCCTCCACAGAGGGAGCCAGCAAGGTTGCTTCTCCAGCCTGGGGACTGCTGCTGCTTAGGACCTGATAGCGGTGTCGTTTGCCATCCAGTTTGCCCTTCACAATCTGCGAGCCAGACAGGGGTACCCGCCGCCCATTGAGGCTGAGGGAGAAGGGAGCAGAGGCTTGGTTAGACCCTTTCGGTGTCACAGGAGGCTGTCACAGGTGCTAGAAGCAGCTTCTCTGGCCTGAAGTGCAGCTCAGCACTTGTCTGGCACATGCAAGGCTTTGGGTTCTACCCCCAGCACCAAAAATCAAGCCAAACCAATCAATCACCATTATTGTTTGGGGTGTTTGTATTTTGTTTTTGCTGATTTCAGACATGCTCTCATATAGCTGAGGCTGACCTTGAACTCCTCATCTTCCAGCTCCCACCTCCCAGTGCTGGAATTAGACATAGGCCACCGTTCCTGGCCATTTATTTATTTATTTATTTATTTATGGTCTTTTTGAAACAGGGTCTCCCTGTAGCCCCAGCTGTCCTGGAACTCACTATGTAGACCAGGCTGGCCTTGAACTCACAGAGATCCGCCTGCTTCTGCCTCCCAAATGCTGGGACTACAGATGTGCACCACCACACCCAGCAGATTATTATTATTTTTTTTAAAGACAAGTCTCAGGCTGGAGAGATGGCTCAGTGGTTAAGAGCACTGACTGCTCTCGCAGAGGACCAGGTTCGAATCCCAGCACCCATATGGCAGTAACAACCATCCATAACTCCAGTTCCAGGGGATGTGACACCCTCTTCTGACCACCTCCAGCATTGCACAACATGAGTATACTTACATACATGCAGGTAATACACTCATACACATAAATTTTTTTTAAAAAATTTATTTTTGTTTGAGACAGGGTCTTCCTGTAGCTCCAGCTGGCCTGGAACTCACTATGTAGACCAGCCTAGCCTGGAACTCAGAGATCCACCTGCCTCTGCCTCCCCAGTGCTGGGACTAAAGGCATTCACTACCATGCCTGGCCAAAAATAATAAATATATTTTTAAGACAAGTCTCCCCATATCCCCATCTGGCCTGGAACTTATTATGTAGACAAGGCTGGCCTGGATCCCAGACATTCTCCTGCCTCTGCCTCCCAGCTGCTGGGATTAAAGGTGTGTTCCAGGAAGCCCAGAATAGTTTATTGTCACAGGGTCTCTAAATGTAGCCCAGGCTAGCCCTGGTTCTCGCTAATTCAAGTTGGCCTTGAACTCTACCTATAATCTGCCTGCCTCAAGCTTCCTAAATGATGAAACTAGAGTGTTGGGATTACAAATGTTCACCACTATTAATGTTTAAAAGAGGGGGAGGGGTGCTCTGGGATGTACTTCAATCGCTTGAGTGTTTGTCTAGCATGCCCAAAGCGCTGGGTTTGATCTCCAGCAGCACATAAAATGGCCTAATGGCAGTACTTGGGTTGAGGTAAGAGGATCAGAAATTCAAGGTCTGCCAGGGCTACATTAGGAATTTGAGGCCTACCTAGGATAGATGAGACTCTCTCTTTAAAAAAAGGGGGGGGGAGGGAAGCGGGTGTGGTGGCACCTATCTGTTGTCCCAGTACCCAGGAGGCTAAGGCTGAAGAATTGCTGGGACTTAGAACCAACAGAATTTCTGGGTTCTTACGTTCAGCCTATGGGGTGGGAAGATAGTCCCAGGGGGTGGCCGGGGACCACTCACCATTGTGGGACGAAGTCCACAGGGGCTTGGATAAACCACAGTTCAGTATCTGGGCCTGTCAGCGCCTCCAAGGAGAAGCGAGGGGGATCCGAGGCTGGAGATACCGCGGTAAAGTTGGCGGGACAGGAGAACCGGGAAGCACCTGAGGGAGAAGACGCAACGGGGTTGTGTGTTGGGAGGGGCGGTCTGCTGACACATGCAACCCTGCAGGGCGCCTAAGGTCCACGTCCCACAGTCATTCCCTCGGGCCACCTGCCCCCCTCTAAAGCGACCCCTCCTTCCATCAGCATCCCCCCGCCCTCCGTAGCCTGTCTCGGGCCACACTGGCATCTCCAGACTGGGAGATCCGCTCCGCACGCCCGGAGTCTAAGATCGCATCCCGGAACTCTCCCGGGCACCGCCCTCCTGGCCCCCAGCTCTGCCTCAGCACCCCGCGCCCAAGGCGGCTCACCGCAGGCGGGGGTCCCCTCCATCCGGAGAGCGGAGGCTGGCACGCCGGACCCCAGAAGCTGCGTGGACCTCAGCCCACCACGTGCACCCTAGGGGGTGGAGCCTCACCCGGAAGCGTCCAAGTAACCTGGGCGGGGGAGCGTGGCTCTGAGCCTGGGCCGCTATTGGCCGAACCCAGCAAATCTACTTAGGAACTACATAAAACAGAGGAATGACTCTTTTTCCAAGACTGTGCTCCAGGGATAAGTTAATTCATTGTTTTTAGGGAATCAAAGTTTCAGCAGATCTGGTGCTGGCTCCTCCCACGGCACCTCAAACGTGGTTTTTCCCACCTCCGTCTTAAAGGGGCCTCACTCCGCTTAAAGTTCTTAAAGAGACAGGACGATTGATTGAGCAGAAATTTCTGAAAGAGGCAGGTAAGAATCCTGGTCGTGGGAGGGGCGCAGTGGTGCACGCCTTAAATCCCAGCACTCTGGAGGCAGAGGCAGGAGGGTCTCTGTGAGTCGAGGCCATCCTGGGCTACATAGTACCAGGCCAGTTGGGGGCTACAGGAGCCCCTGCCTCAAATAATAAATAACAACGACAATAATAATAATAATGTGTGTGCTTTCAAAGTTAGACTCCACCTTTGGAAATTACCGAAGCCGCGGAAGTTGAGTGCTGAAGGAGAGGGCCGATAATAGATTAGGGATGATGGGAGCGATTAAAGAACCAGCCAGAAGGCGGAGCTTCTGGACTTTGGGGGGGGCGGGTGGGAGCGGGAAACCCAGGGGGAGGAGCCCGAGGGATCTAGGGAGGACCCTTGGACCCAGAAGCGGGATCCGGTGAGACTCATGGATGTTCTCGAGGACCTCGAGTCCTGTAAGGAAGGGAGAGGGAATGAAAGGTCCGGATCGCCGACCACTCCTTGCCCCGGGGCCCCGGTAAACAGCGGCACGTGGACACCAGATCTGGGGGACGCGCCCACGCCCCTTCCCAGCAGGACTGCGGCGCGTGGGGCGGCGGGTGGAGCCGCGGGACGGCGGGTGACGCGACTGCATTCCTGGCCGGTGTGTCAGCGCCGCCTCCGGCCCTCCCCCCCGCAGAGACTAAGCATGCTGCCCCAGCACTGGGGGGTACCCCCTTCTGCGGCTTTCCAGGAGTCAGGGACAGCCTGGGGAAGGCGAGGTGTTACCTCGGGATCCCCGCGTGGCCACGAGACTCCGGACTCGCCCCTTGCGGGCTCCCGGACTCCAATTCCCAGGGGGACCCGTGGGCGTCAGGCGGTGGACGTCGCTCGCGGGTGCTGCTGGGGATTGTAGTCCAGCCCCGACTGTGCGCTGTTGCTGGGAAGCCCTGTAAAGATCCAGCCTGTTTATTTAAAAAGCTTAATTTAACTTTTAAAAAATTATTTTTATGTATATGAGTGTATAGCCTGCATGTATGTAAGTTCACCCGTGTTGTACAAAAAGTCAGTACTCTTAACCACTGAGCCATCTCTCCAGCCCCTTAATATAATTTTATTTAAAAATTACTTTTAGATTTATTACCTTTTAAATTTATGTTCGTGTGTGTGTGTGCCAATGTGAGTATACCAGTGTGGGTGCTCACAGAGGCCAGCAAGAGTCAGATTCCCTGGAGCTGGAGGCACAGGCAGCTGTGAGCTGCCCAACGTGGGTGCTGGGAATTAAACTCAGGTCCTTTGAAAGAGTAGCAAGTGCCATCTCCAGCTCCTCTTTTTATTTTTATTTGTTTAAATTTTTTTGTGGTTAAAAAAAATATTTATTTTTAGTGTTTTTGAGACAGGGTTTCCCTTTGGTCTCAGCCGGCCTGGAACTCACTATGTAGACCAGACTGGCATTGAACTTACAGAGATCCTCCTACCTCTGCTGAGATTAACGGCATGGGTCACAGCCTATTATTTATTATTTTTATTTTACATGTATGAGTGTATTGCCTGCATGTGTAAGTGCACCCGTGCTGTGTAATGCCTACAGAGGGCAGAAGAAGGTGTCAGATCCCCTAGAACTGAAGTTACAGATGGTTGTTATCTGCTATGTGGGTGCTGGGATTTGAACCCGGGTTCTCTGCAAGAGCGGTCACTGATCTTAACCACTGAGCCATCTCTCCAGGCCTCCCTCCCTTTTTTATTGGTGATTTTAGTCTTTCTGAGACAGAGTCTCCCTGTCTTCCTGTAGCCCCAGCAGGTCTGGAACTCACTATGAGCCCAGGCTGACTGCAATCTCACAGAGACCTTCAGGCCTCTGCCTCCTGAGTGCTGGGGTTAAAAAATGTTTTACAGACAGGAGAACTGGGGCTCGGAGTCTTGATTTAGTGAGGTCCCTTTCTTGTCCTAGGATCCAGGCGTGTGAATTTCTCCTAGCCTTAAATCATCTATCCATTAAGTGTCCAAATCTTCACTCGAAATAGGGGAAGCTGAGCCTGGAGGGGTGGGGAAGGACCCGGGGGTCCGTCTTCTGTACCAACAGTGAAGTGCACAACCTTATGGAGCACACTGTCCAGAGCGTCCTTGAGCTTCAAGGTCTCACTCTTGCCATCTGTGAAATGGATCACTGGTGACTGCCAATGGGAATGTCCGCCCCTTGGGGACTACAAGTCCCAAGGTGCTCCATGCCACCCTGGCTGCCCCTCCCTTGTGGGACCCGCCTCCCTCCTGTCCGAGTCACGTCGTCTAACCTGTTCCCGGGCGACTGCCCCGCCCCGTTCTCCGCTCCGGCAGCTGGAGCTGGAGCTAGAGCTGGAACCGGAGGAAGACCCCCCCGGTGCCAGGATCTGCCCCGGACCCGTGAGTTCCACACCCTCCTGGGAGGTCCAGCCACCCCGGAGGAGCCCGACACCACATCCCTGGGGAGGATTGAGAGGGAACTTGGACGGCTAAGACCCAGGGCAGACTATGGGGAGCTCAGACGTCTGGGTGTCTGGATTGAGAAAACTCGGGTGCTGGCTTTCCTAGGCAGATGGAGTGGGGGGTTCGGAATGCCTGAGTTCTTGGAGTGGGGGAGGTTCAGAGCCTTTGGTCTTGGGGGACACTGGAGCTGGTACTTGAGTACTTTAACTGGGGATTCTGGCAGTGTCCTGGGGAATACGGGGGTCTCAGCTCTCAATCTTGGGCAGGTATGGGAGGTTAAGATGGTGAAGTTCTGGGGTCGGTGTTTGACCTGTCCCCTGACACCAGCTGCCTTCTCCATTGAACCCCCAAGTCGCAGCAGAATTAGTGGAACCAGGATAGTGGAACTTGGTCTTTGGACAGAGTAAGACAAGCTCCCAGGGGTCCCTCCAGAGGCTGTGTCCGGGTGTTACACCCCACTTTCAGAAGGCTTTGGGGTGGGGGCAGGGGAAGAGAAACCGGGGCAGTTCTCCAACCTCTTCTGTGCCGCTGAGCGAACCCCAACATGTCATTAACTGGGGCGTCAGACCTGCCTAACCAGAGGAGGGACATCTGGCCAAGGGCACCCCCTGGTGGAGTTAGGGTGGGGCCTCTTGTTACCCCATAGGGATTAGAAATATTTGGGATTTGCAGAGGTCATTTTGGAACCCAGGTGGGCCTTCCAGACCCATAGGGTTGGAGCTGGGACACTTGTGTGGCTTCATGCATCAGTGTTACATAGAGTGGAAGGGGTAAACTGAGGCTGACAGGTCAACATAGGCAGCTGAATTTGACATCTTCCTCTCCCACCAGAATTAGTGTACTAACTTCTCCCTCCCAGGGTTCCTTGCCCTGACTCAGAGGTGAGACATGTCACCTCCACTTCCCTCTGTCTGACCTGAGGTGTTGTGGGAGATAAGGAGGGATTGAGGCTAATTCTGGAGGTGTCTGTCCTTGAGACTGGGGGAGGGCAGGGATAGGCAGGCACCTCCCTCTGATTCTCCACTTCCCTGCCATCATGTAGGGAGATTAAGAAGGTAGGGAGGATCTGAAGAGAGAGAGAGAGAGAGAGAGAGAGAGAGAGAGAGAGAGAGAGAGATGTTTTGCTACTGCCTGGGGTTTGAAGGACATTTGGTGACAGCATGAAATAAAATTAAAAATAATAGTCTGTGACTGCCAACACAGACTGTGCCCTGCCAGGTTCGGGTCTGGGAGGAACCAAGGGAGAGTCTCATTGTCCAAAGAAGTCTCTGGCAAGTGCCCAAAAGTAGGAACTGTGAGTTCCACTTTTAATGGAGTTTGTTGACCCCAGGGAAGGGCTCCTCCCTAGCGATGGGGAAACTGAGGCTGGACAGCAGACACCACCCACACCCTGGGATCTTGCCAGTTTCTATCTGGAATCTTCCAGGGCCGTCTCCCTGCCATAGTGCCCAAGTTCCTGGGGATGAGCCCTGGCAAGGATTTTGGAGATTGAGGGTCCTGCGATCCAAGAGCTCTGGCCATTGAGACCACCTGCATCAAAACCCAGGGCATTTAGAATCTCAGCAAGAAGGGGCTTGGGGACATAGCTTAGTTGGTAGAGTGCTTTATCATGTATGAAACCCTGGGTTCCATCCCCAGCATCACATAAAACCCTGGATGGTCGCACATGCCTGTAATTCCATCACTTGGGAGGTGGAGGCAGGGGGATCAGGAGTTCAAGTACATCCTGGGCTACATGAGAGACACTGTCTCAAACAAAATCAAGACAAAACCTCACAAAAGAAGCTCAGGAAAACCTGGGTCTTCACTCTTCACTCAGGAGCCCCTGTCTTGTTTATCCCCCTATTCCTGGGGATTGAACCCAGACCCTTATGTAAGCTAGTCTAGCTCTCTATGGCTGAGTTATAGTCCAGCCCTTGCTTTTGTGTTGTTTTGTTTCATTTTGAGACAGGGTCTCCCTGTAGCCCAGGCTGCCCTGGAACTTGCTATGTAGGCCAGGCTGGCCTGGATCTCACAGAGATATGCCTGCCTCTGCCTCCCAAGTGCTGGGATTAAAAGCATGTGCCACCACACCCAGCCAACTTTGCTTTTTTAAAAAAATATTTTTATTTATTAATTTTTTTTTGGTCTTTTTGAAACAGGGTCTCCCTGTAGCCCCAGCTGGCCTGGAACTCACTATGTAGACCAGGCTGGCCTTGAACTCACAGAGATCCACCTGCCTCTGCCTCCCAAGTGCTGGGACTACAGGCATGTGCCACCACACCCGGCTTATTTATTAATTTTTATTTTTTGTGTATGAGTGTATTGCCTGTATGTAAGCGTACCTGTGTTGGAGTCCTCTGGAACTGGAGTTATGGACAGTTGTTAGCGGTCATGTGGGTGCTGGGAATCAAACTCGGGTCCTCTGCAAGAGCAGCCAGTGCTCTTAACCGCTGAGCTATTGAGCTATTTCTCCAGCCCTGATTGCGGCTTTTTTTTTTTTAAGATAGAGTCTCCCTATGTAGCCCAGGCTGGCCTTGAACTGGAGATCGCCTTCTGGGTGCTGAGATTACAGACATTCCCCTGAGT